AAGTCATAAGTTCGTAACTTGAAATATAATTCCACACCTAACCAAAAAAATATAAAAATACGACTGCCATTGCCAACCTCACACAATTAGGGTTATTTAATAAGATGGTCCTTTTCATTCAAAGAAAAAGGAAAGTTAAAATGGTCCTTTGCAATGAGTAATTTTTTGGTGTAATCAAACATGGTCATGTGTTAGAACAAGTGTAGCTACTATACTCTAGATCCAAGATAAGTCGTCTCATATTGTATAAGTGAACTGGTAGCACCATGTAGTAGTGTGGCAGTGATCTACTAATAATTGTCTTTACTTGGTTAGAAATTTCGATTCAATTCACATGAACATAAATATGATATATATATATATATATGGTGAATACGATACGTAGTTGTAATTGAAGATGATGATGATGTTGCTATGTTCACTACAAGAAAACAGCATGCCTTGATCCAAGATAAGTCGTCTCATATTGTATAAGTGGACTGGTAGCACCATGTAGTAGTGTGGCAGTGATCTACTAATAATTGTCTTTACTTGATTAGAATTTTCGATTTCATTCATATGAATAGAAATATGATATATATATATATATATATATATATATATGGTGAATACAATACGTAGTTGTAATTGAAGATTATGATGATGCTACTATGTTCACTGCAAAAAAACATGCCTTGAGGCACCATTCTAGGCACGCGGATTTAAATTGGTGTCCATCTAAAAATTGCTTGCACTGTTTTATATTATCAATGGCCTTCGTATTTGTAACACTGACAACGGAGGAAATGTAACAGTTTGGAAAATCTAACCAATTATTTTGTTTTCCAACCAAAGAAAGATATTTATTCTTTTGTTCTTATATCTATTTTAAAATTTTAATTATGGGAAGCTGAGGCATTCTCATTGCTTAACTCTTGATAAGGAGATAAAGCCCTTCATTCTTAATTGTTCTTTGCTACATCCAACGGTTGTTATGAGAGCATGCAAAAACAACCACACCAAAAGTCCTATAAAAAATTATTGGGTGCTTCAGAGTACTGGTATTTTAGATGTTGTAACCATTAGATCTTGATTTTTGTATTTTAAATAAAAATCTAATAGTTTAAACGCCCAGAGTATTGGGTACTCCGGCACTCCCAAGAAAGTCCCAAAGCCTAATACATGGCAACTTTAATGTGACGACCCATCCCTAAATTTCTATGTAATTTTCTCCCCGAGTGTGTAAATTGACATTTATGCCCTTGTTGGTAAAGTAACGTGGACATGGTTATTCGGTTTTAAATTATTTTCCTCGTTATCATAATTAATTAGTACTCGTCGTTACGAGTGCATGAGCACGAGTTAGACTCAAATCAGAGTCATAACAAAAAAAGTTACATTAAATTAAACTGTGTTAAAAATGGGTAGATTTATTCACGTGCGTGTTAATTATTTCAGTGCTGAAAACCACTGCTTTTTATAAGGCATGTTGGATTTCGTTTGACTTCAATTGTACAAATCCTATCCTTTTTCTCTTAAAACTGGACCCGTGCCTTATTCACTTTCACCAACCAATCAGAATTTGTCCCACACTATAGCACCCAATCAGATTTATCCTATTCTCAACCAATCAGAACTCACATTCTCTCTCTCTCTCTCTCTCTCTCTCTCTCTCATCTTCTCATTCTCTCTCTATCCTGAGACTTTCTCATCTCTGTAACAACCACACACCACCATCAAATCTCACAGATCGAGCTGTCAACCCCCACCACCATCACACTCCTCTCATCCTCATGAACCCAACCGTACAAACCGATAATGAAATGGTTGAGTTTTGAAACTCGGTAGCTCTGACTCGGGCGAGTTTTCCCCGATATGTTCCCGGCCGAGTTACAAGCTTTTAGGACATTTGGAAGCCTCCACACAACTTCCTCGAGTCAATAGCCTAGGTTTGAAGTCGAGTTGGTGTGGAAACACATGGTTTCGAGGCAAAGAAAATAAGTCTGAACCTTTTGAGGCTTTTTCGGGCCACTTACGCCCACTTTTTGAACTTTTGAAAGGTACAATCTTGTCCTCCTCTTCCTGAGCTTCATTTCCATATAAAGTGCATCGAAAATAGTTGAGAAATGAGCAAGATATGAAGCTTTGAAATTTTTCCAAAAACCGGCAAGATTTTCCAGTTTCCAGCGAAACCAGACGGCGGCAGAAGGCACCGAAGAAGAAGGAGAATATTCCGTCAAAGTTGATGGAATATTCTGACGCCATTAGGTTCCGTTACTATTTAATGGAATATTATGTCAAGTCTGACGGCATATTCCATAGGTATGTTAGTTTCTAACTTGAGCGTGTGGCCGTGGGCTAGGCGGTGCGTGCGGGTGCGTCCGGCCTCTGGGTGATGTGTGCTTGACGTGTTCAGGTCTGTGACGTCAAGTATAACATTTTCTCATATTTAAACCCTCCGTTTGAGCAAACCATAGGGGTTTTTCCTAGCCACTTTATGTATGTGTTAATTAATTAATTATTTTAGTTATTCACATATAGAAGAAAATTATCCTGAAGAAGTACAAGGTCAAGCAAGGTAAGGAGGCTACGATCCAACCACATATCAGTGTGCAGGCATTTGTTTTTATATGTATGATATATAAAGTTTTATAGTTTCCACAAATGCTTTTGAATTGATTCATGCCTATTATGCCATGATTAACTAATGTTATAAGAAATGTTGTACTGTTGTGAAATGCTAAAATAATAGTACGGGATGAGCAAGTAAGTTTACTATGTTGATTAGAATTATTGAATCGTTATGGCATGATTGTATTTATGTAGTCTGCTCATCATTGCTGCACCCCGGTATTAGTGCTCGCCTAGGGCCAGGGCTAGTATTTCACGTATATGTTCATATCCGCACCACATGCTCGCCTTGGATCCAAGTAGGTGCCAGTCATGTCATACAGGTTGAAATAGGCAACTCCGACATCTTGTCGTACATTTTGCAATAGGCAACTCCGACTCGTATGTGACCGCGAATAGCGCTAGTCTTCACATGATTGTAGCAATAGAGCGTATATTATGATTATACCCAGTCTTGTCGTACATGTTGCATTAGGCAACTCCGACTTGTGTGCTAGCATAGATGGATGAGCATCAGTTCAGTCGTTCAGGTTGCATTAGGCGACTTGGACTTGTGTGCTAGCATAAATCGATGAGCATCTGATTTTATTATGCTACTATTGAGATATTGTGATTGGCATATTTCTGGAATTATTGTTGATTTGCATTTGATTTCATACTTATACGTAGTATGATTTTCTGGAAACTATACATGTCTTACAGCGAGGGGATAGTATGTTCAGAAAATAAATGTTTTGTATAAACCTTTGTTTTTGCCCACTCACCCTTCTATTTTTCGCCTCTCCAGGTCCTAGTTAGCTGATTTATTTTGTGGCATACGAGGAATATCCGGCGGTTTTGACATACCCATAAATAATGTAGGGGCTTTTCCCAGTTGTGTAATAGGTACTTTAAATAGTTTCGACTACACTACTTATATCATCTATGCTCTAAACATTTAGGTTTTATGAATTTTAACCACTTCTACGCACTCGTTACTTTAGATTAAATAAACCCTAGTTTCGGTTTAAATTTATTCATATCTTTATTACTTCACTTTCCTTTTTTATTATGTCACCTTTGGGTGACGACCAGCATACCTCGACTTCGGTCGGGGTGTGTCATTGAAACCCTAATAATAATAAGAAAAGAAAAATACTATGCTTATTACTATATTTTTTATACCACATATGTACCATTATTTCTTTCATGCACACGTGAAATATTGGTATTCAATTTGGATACCACATATATTACATTGGCTCCCATGTCTTCAGTTTAATGTATAAAAAAAGAATAGACATCAAATTTTGTAATTATCAATGGGATTTTTTTTTTAACAAACAATATTATCTACACTAAGGGGGTAGGGGACTGGGCTATGCCTTACAATGTGCTTATCATAATGATGTGGGTCAACTTCGTCTTTGATGAGAATCGGATCTAAAACCTCTCACTTATAAGTGAAGAATACCATTAGACCGTAATACTAATAGTATTAATAGGATTATTATTTTGGATCGTTGGCTCCCATTTTTCTTAAAAAATAATTGACAACTTGGACACCGATGCGGACTGTTCATTGTAACACCAATTCATACGCAGTGTGGGATACAACATTAGAACCCTTGACTATGAACACTGACCATGTATCAGTGGATGCATGGTGGCTATAGATTTTGGACACCGAAATAAGCCTCTAATGAGATCAATAGACACTTATGAAAAACGGAGCGAGTAGGCCGATATTTAACTAGTGTTAGTGGGTATAGTATCTTATTGTGTGTAACGAATACGATACCGATTTATGACTAACTTTTGTGATAACGCAATTGCGCTTCGTGGTAATAATATCATTGTAAATATCCAATAATTTCTCAGAAGGACACTATGGTCCCATGTCAAATGTACAACCACCAATGTCCACAAAATGTGGTTTGCCACTTTGCAATTCCTTCCCAACCCGCCGAAGATGAATAAAATGCCAATTGTCCGACTTTAGGCGCACGGCGGATTAAACAAGTAAAAAACATAGGATCCTACATGTTAGCTTTCATCATGATCAAACCCAATACCTGAATAAACTAATTCAAAGAATTTTGATTTGCCTTAACATTTTGGTTTATAAATTTGAAAGTATAGGATAATGTAGGGCTAAAGGGGAGGCTTACACCTAATTAAAGTTTCCACACAACCGATATCCATTCATTTTTCACTTTCTACTCCTTTATCCCCCACTATAATTAGTCCATTATTAACATGAACTTAGCTTTATTTTTTTGTGTTGACTTATTTCACTTCATTGTAATATAATTTTGAGCGACGCTTTTTGTACACATAAAACTAACAGGTTTATTGACATATTTTATAATACAAATAAATTCTACGTACGATGATAAGACTTACTTTTTTAAAAAATGTAAATGTAAGTGTGTCAATTTTATATGTCTATAAAAAGAATCTGTTTTTACTATGTGCCCTTGTATAAAATATGTAACGGTAGCTTAAAGCAAAACTTTCATTTGAAAATATTTGAACGGTTAAGGGAGAAAGGCACAACTCAAGATTGAAATCAATGGGGGTAATTAGATGGATGGCAGTTAGTTGATTTGAGACATTAAAATCTTAATTAAAAGTTCAAATGCACTAGTTTGCAGGGACAACGTATGCAAATTAACAAAAGAAAAACAGTACCCCCAATAGAAAAAGAAAAAGATCAGCACAAAACAAAACAAAAAGCAATGATTACACATGGTATGTTATACTTATCAACATTAATAGAAAAATAGGAAAATACACTCTTTAGACTTTAGTCCCCAAAAATGAGAAAAAGAAGAAAAAACCCAATAAAAATATAGGAAAAACAAATAAAATATTTGTGGTCCCGTTCTACTCTGTTTGGCTTTTTAAATATATTCCTATCTTCATTATTCTCTCATCGAACTCAGAACCTCTATGATCTCTCTCTGCCTCTAAGATTTTTAGCCTCTGAAAATTTCCCTATTCCGGAAACCCTAAAATATGGAACCTACAAATACACCGGTGATAGCCAAGAAACTAAGAAACATGGTACGTCTAGTTTTGTTCACGTTACAAAAGGGGGTCTCCAAGAAAAAGCTGACGATGATGAAACATGGGAAGATCTTAGGCAAGTCTTTCAATGATTTCATGGTCCGTCATCAGACTGAGCTCAGCTGCAAGTCGGACGACGTACAAGTAACATCGTTTGTGTACCCGTTGGAGTACGAGTTCAGCTGTACCAGCAGCCCGCCGCGTAGGTCATCCTACACTCCTCCATGTCAATCCGGCAAGGTGTACAAGGGGCGGTATGTTAGGCAGCATTCGCGGAGGGGAGTTTATGTGCCAATGATGTGTGAGGATGCATTGGCGACAGTCCATGGGGGGAAGAAAGCGAGTTATCGCGGCAGTGATGTGGTGGAGCCACTGCCAATTGTGAGGCGGGCGCTGGTGAGGGTAACGGAGTGGGAGCCTTTGTTACCGTTGAGTAATGATGAGGAGGAGGCTTACCATGTGGACAAGGCAGCCCAGGAATTTATTGACAAGTTTTATAGGGAGTTAATGTTGCAAAAGTGGATGGCTGCAGGTCGATACAGCTGAAGTAGGCTGACAAGTAAAGGATATGGAGAGTGACTTATATGTAATCGGTACCCTGATGATCAAAGTTCTCGAGAGGATTTTCAGTATGTCCAACATCACACGTTAGGTTTAATTGTGCAATTCATCGTGTTGATCCTTAACTGTTTTATTAGATTTGACGTATTATGTTGGGCATACTGAAGATAGAATCTCATCTTTAGTAGTTGGAGAGTGTATTAATTTAGTGAAGTAATTAGAACTCATGCTTTCCTTATTGCATGTACAGTTAAGACTTGGAGAACGGTTAGAACCCTTGCATGTATTATGAAATGCAGAAAATCCTTCAGAGTTTAAAGGATGTAAGTTTCTAGTTTACGTTTTTGTAAGAACTTTTGCATATATATGTAAACATGTTCAACCTCATAAAACTTAATACAATCGTAAAAGAAAATTCTTTCAGAATTATAACCCAATGATTAAACAACTAAACCACAATTAGAAATAAAGAGTTTTAAACAGCTTGGATGTGAAAACAAACTAGAAAGTTAGCAGATGAAATGCTTGTATTTGAAGCCAATTGACTTGACCAACAAGGTTACTAGTTTTTACCATTTATCTTCATATAATTCCAAGCAGACACTGATACCTGAGTTGCAAACAACTGTTGCTGCATTCTTGTCTCACTTTTTATGAGCAACCTACTACTCCCTCACTAGCTCCAGGTAGAAACTGTCAGACATACGTGCGAATGCACATCAAGATGAAGCCTTGCAGAAAGCTAATCGGATACCTCATTCGTCTCTTTAGGGATAGTGTAGTGAGTCTAGTGATCCAGACTGCATAGTTGAGCCAGATACTCAGAAAATCTACTTAAATCTCATCCAAGGGTTCGAACAAAATATATTGCTTGAGTTAATTTTTGTAAGATATTACTGCCCCTTCAAAACGTTTGAATGGAAGGTATTGGAATCCTGCTGAAGTCGAGCAGTGGACTGATTTCTTTACATATTTGTAGGGGACTACATCATCACCTGCCATAGAACATCACCATAGAACCACTTAAAATGGTTCTGAAAATTATTTCCGGAAGTGTGAGCATTGTAAAACAAAATCGAGTTTTGGGCACAATTATTTTTAACATCTTTCGAAACAAGTTCAGATTCCATTTGGAGTATAAATTTTGTTGGACGTTTACTTAAACCAGAAAGCTAGGTTGAAGCTCGAAATAAATACCAGTCCTTTCTAATATACAAATATAAAACAACAGTGGCCCTCAAGCTCTAACTAGTAGTAAGGTGGCTAGAAATTCAAGCAAAGGCTCAAACAGTTATAGTGATGCTAAAACACCTTCAACTTCCAATAAGAAACTGAAAATTATAAGTAAAGCAGAAAATTACAGAAAATAACAAAATTGAAATCTTTACCTTGAAATCACACTAAACCAACTTCACGATGCGTGGTCAACCAATGGTCGTCAAAAGAATCAAATTAAGCTACCAGTTCGGATACTCTTATTAAACCAGGCCATGAATTCTGGATGCAATTCATTGGTTTTCTCCATCCAAACTGCTCTTAATATGACACGGCTGTCAATCTCGTTTTTGGCCAACTTCTCTACAAGACTCCAAACCCGTCTTCCAGTGGTTGCCTCTGGCATTAAAACACTAAGACGAGGTTCTTAAATAGACTCACGAGAGTGTTCCCGGCCTTGAAGCAACACATAAGGAAAAGCTTTGGCTACATCTTGAAACTGATCAGAGTTATCATTTGGCATTGGGACACCACGTGGTGGAAGCTCCACAAATGAAGACCAAAAGCTGGAATTCACAACGGAATACTTGATCAATCTGAGGTCTTGTACTTATAGCAAGGTTTGGCGTCTTTTGGGGATGCAGGGGAAGTGCATAAAGCGCAAGCATACTTTTTTTTTTTTTTTTTTTTGAACAAACGATATTATCTACACTAAATGGGAGATGGTGGGCTTGGTGGTTCAGATTCGATGTACATGTAAGGTATTGATCTTGTCTGGATTAACTCATTGTACACCAGAAATTCAAGTGCCGACTTAGAAACACATGACAAGGGATCGAGGATCACAGACTCTTTAACCATGCAGGCCTGATACCTAACTGCATGAACATTTCTGTGCCTGAATTCAGATGATTCTGACGAACTACTTGCTCTAATGCGCTTGGCAACCCCATCTGCCAAACCAGCAGATATCGCTTGGCCTAAGAGCTTTCCTTATTCAGCGAAAGAGGGTTCTTGTCAAGGGAAACTCTTAAAACTTTTTCTAAATCTTCCAGGCTACTACCGTGGATCCACGAAAATTCCTTCTTGCCACTTTGATATTCAAAGAAAAGTTCAACTACCTGCTTTCTCTGCTTCGACATTTCCTCCATGAAGTTCGGGGTGTAATGTTTTCTCGGATTGGAAACCTTTCGTGAGCCCCCTTCAAAGTTTCTTTAGTTCTCCTTCATACTTATCTATGATTTGAATTCTGTGAAGGAGCATTAGCAAGCGTTGCATGGTTGTTTTGCAAACTGCCTGACAAAAGGATATGCACAACTCAAAGCTCCAGCTATTGCAACTGCATACCGGCACTGAATTGTAGCTCGGCTGTGTTTATCGTTCGCTCTCATTTCATAAACCTGCACATCAAGTCCGAGGACGCAGGGTAAAAGCCGGAATCTAAAGCTGACATTTCATTCTTTCAGTTGCTCCAAGTGCCACCAATAGGCGCCCCGCTTCATCCAGGGCACCAGCCTCTGGAGGAGTGGGAAATGGGAAATTGGGTATATGGGATGTGTTAACTATATATGTACTGTTAGTTAAGTTGGTTAAGATTCTGTGATGTAAGATTGTGACAAGTGTCAATATCTTAAGAGTCTTATGTTAGCTTAATAACTAAGCAATATAGTTAGATATATACTGAATGTAATCTGTGTTAGAAAGTAATGTGAAAAGATAGTAAATACATTTCTTCTTCTTCTCTCTGTAAATGCTTTTCTCCCTCTCTGTTTACATGGTATCTTTCGCCTGAAAAGCTTCGGCTTGAAAGTTTTTCCGATCTTGTTCTTCTGCTTCCGCTCACCATTCTGCATCACCGATCTGGTTTCTCTTCTTTTCGGGATCTTGGTTCTTCTCTGTGTCTCTGGCTGGGTGCATCTTTTCTTTGCACACCAAGTGTTTGTTCGAATTCCCCTGAGAAATTTTTCATCTGGGTTTCTTTCTTCTTCGTCTGCGATGGTGACTTCGACTCAACTGCAGATTCTTCAATCTCCTATCACCTCTCTTATCTCCACGATTTCTTCTTCTGTGACTGTCAAACTCGATGATTCCAATTATCTCACTTGGAATTTTCAGATTGAGTTGTTGCTTGAAGGCCATGGTCTTATGGGTTTTGTGGATGGATCTCATCCCTGTCCTGCTCAAGTTACTGTGCCTGTTTCTGAAGGTTCGTTTCCTCCTTCAAGTGATGGGTCCTCTTCGACTGCAAGTGATGCCTTCAAGATCTGGAAAATGCACGATCGGGCATTGATGCAATTACTTACAGCTACTCTATCTCCTTCAGCAGTCTCTTGTGCAATTGGTAGTTCCAGCGCTCGTGACTTATGGCAGCGTCTTAAAGACCAATTTTCTATTGTCACTCGAGCTACGATCTTTCAGATGAAATCTGAATTACAAAACATCAAGAAAGGTACTGATTCGGTTTCGGTCTATTTGCAACGTATTAAAGAAGCTCGTGATTATCTGTTTGTTGCTGGGGTTCAGTTTGATGATGATGACATTGTGATTTTGACTTTGAATGGTCTCTCCTCTGAATATAATACTTTGAGATCAATTGTTCGAGGTCGTGAGAATGTTATCTCCATGAAAGATCTCCGGTCTCAGTTACTTGCTGAGGAAGCCATGGTTGAGAACATTCCAATTACACCTTTCTTGTCTGCTATGGTTGCTCGGAATAATGGCCCTAGTTCCAAAGCTGAGGATCATTCGAGTAATGTGTCTTATGGTGGTTCTTCTCAGTCTCCATTATATTCGTCTGTTTCTTCTGGGTTTAAGCCATCCTATAGTAAGAACAAATACAAAGGGAAATTTCAGTCTCATCCTCATTCTCGTTTTGGGAGTTCCAAGACCACTTATGGTCAGTATAATGTGAATTCTGCTCCTGGTATTCTTGGTGCTTCTCCACCACAGCAACAGGATTTTTCGAGCACTTCCTGTCAAATTTGTGGCAAGTTTGGACATCTCGCTCCTACTTGCAGATTTAGGAATGTTGATAGTACTGTTTCTGAGGGTTGTCAAATTTGTGGGAAGAAGAATCACATTGCAAAGTTCTGTCATTTCAGGAACTCTAATTCCTCTCCTCCAGTTCCGACTGCAATGCATGTTTCTCCATCACAACATCATCAGTCCAGTGATTCTCTTCAACAAACTTGGCTCACTGACTCTGGAGCATCTTCTCATATGACAGCTGACTTAAGTAATCTGACCTTGGCATCTTCATACCCTGCCCATGACACGATTCAGACTGCGAGTGGGGCAGGTTTATCCATATCTCATATTGGTTCCTCCACTCTTCCTACTTTCTTAAAACCTTTACAACTCAAGTCTGTTCTTTGTGTTCCTGGCATATCTCAGAACCTTTTATCTGTGCATAAACTGTGCCTGGATAATCATTGTAGGCTAATATATGATGCTTCCTGTTTTTGGATCCAGGACAAAGTCACAGGGAGGATTCTCTTTCAAGGTAAATGCAGTAATGGGTTGTATCCCATACCACTTCCAGCACGCGTTCGACCTATTTCTTCTCAACCTCAAGCTGCCTATCTTGGTTGTCCAGTGTCTTCTAGTCTCTGGCATAGTCGATTAGGTCACCCGTCTAATTCTGTGATCTCGTTAATGTTGAAGAAGTGTAATCTGTCTGTTATACCAGATTCAGTGTCTGTGATGTGTCATACTTGTCTGGAAGGCAAATTCTGTAAATTGCCCTTTGTTAAGTCTGTGTCAAAGTCTTTGCACCCCTTTGAAGTCATTCACAGTGATGTATGGGGTCCTTCTCCTTGTACTTCCATAGATGGTTTTAGGTACTATGTGACATTCATTGATGAATGCACTAGACATTGTTGGTTGTTTCCCCTTCTTAATAAAAGTGATGTGTTCTCCACTTTTGTTGGTTTTTTCAATTTTATTTTCAATCATTTCTCCACATCTATTAAATCATTACAGAGTGATGGTGGAGGGGAATATCTTAGTAAGTCCTTTCAACATTTTCTGTTGGACAAAGGCATCAAACATCACCTGTCTTGTCCTTACACACCCGAGCAAAATGGGTTAGCTGAAAGG